GCCTCAGAATGGCTCCATGATCCTGTACAACCGTAAGAAAGTCAAGTATCGCAAAGATGGATACTGCTGGAAGAAACGCAAGGACGGAAAGACGACAAGAGAGGACCACATGAAGCTCAAAGTGCAGGGGGTCGAGGTGAGTACTCACACTGACACTACTGCTACAACTACTGCTGCTACTGCTACTGCTATTGCTACAGCTACTACCTACTACTATTAATACTTCCACTACTGCTGCTGCTACTACTACTATTTTTTTTCACAAACAGTAAAGTCTTTCTGACAAGAAGAGTGCACTTTGATATTTTGGTTTTTGTTGTACTTCTTGTAGTAGTAGTATTCTCAGTGTTCAGTGTCCTCTGTGTTGAGCTGAAGAGTTTGGCCTGGAGCCAGAGATGAAGTCACTGCCTCTGTCAGCAGAACAGAGTCTTCATCAGAGTACAGAGTGAAGTACAGAGTGTAGTGAAGTACAGAGTGTAGAACAGAGTGTAGTAGGGAATGTAGTACACAGTGTAGTATACAGTGTAGTACACAATGTAATACAGAGTGTAGTGATGTACAGAGTATAGTTAAGTACAGAGTGCAGTGCAGAGTGTAGTACACAGTGTAGTACAAAGTACAGAGTGTAGTCCAGAGTGTATAAAGTGCAGTTCAGAGTGTAGTTCAGAGTGTACAGAGTGTAGTACAGAGTGTAGTACAGAGTGTAGTACAGAGTGTAGTTCAGAGTGTAGTACAGAGTGTAGTACATAGTGTAGTGATGTACACACACACTGTGCTGCACTTTCTTCTCCAGTTTGATGTTCTTAATATAATGAGTGATACTCGTAGGACTGAGCAGCGTCGCCGAGTCATGTTGGTCCAAATGTAGAAAATGCTCTGCTCTAGTGTGAGGTACAGCTCTTCACAGCCTGGTTTAGTCCTGGTTTAGTCCTGGTTTAGACCTGGTTTAGTCCTGGTTTAGTCCTGGTTTAGTCCTGGTTTTAGTCCTGGTTTGTTTAGTCCTGGTTTAGTCCTGGTTTAGTCCTGGTTTAGTCTGGTTTATGGTTTAACCTGGTTTAGACCCTGGTTTAGTCCTGGTTTAGTCCTGGTTTAGACCTGGTTTAGTCCTGGTTTAGTCCTGGTTTAGACCTGGTTTAGTCCTGGTTTAGTCCTGGTTTAGACCTGGTTTTTGACCTGGTTTAGTCCTGGTTTTGGTTTAGACCTGGTTTAGTCCTGTTTAGACCTGGTTTAGACCTGGGTTTAGACCTGGTTTAGTCCTGGTTTAGACCTGGTTTAGACCTGGTTTACCTGGTTTAGACCTGGTTTAGTCCTGGTTTAGTCCTGGTTTAGTCCTGGTTTAGTCCTGGTTTAGTCCTGGTTTAGACCTGGTTTAGTCATGGTTTAGTCCTGGTTTAGACCTGGTTTAGACCTGGTTTAGTCCCTGTTTAGTGTTAAGAATAGACTTGATGCTTTTGTATAATTCAACAGTTCTTTTCATTTGGACCACCCCAAAATCTGAAACTGTCTGGAGAGAGGGATGATGACGAAAGAGTGAAATGCAAACAGAGCGAGAGGAGAGAGAGTGAGGGACAGAGAAAGAGGGCAAGGAAAGAGGAAAGAGGGAGAGAAATAAAAAAAAAAAAAAAGGTTTGAGAGGCTCATAGCAAATGTAAATGTATGGAAATTCACTCAGCCCCAGGCAAAAACAGAATTTAGAAAAGAAGAGAGAGAGAAAGAGAGAGAGAGAGAGAGCGAGTGAGGGGAAGATGAAGGAGGGAGAAGAGAGAGAGAGAGAGAAAGAGGAAGGAGGAAAGAAGGGAGAGAGAGAGAGAGGAAGATGAAGCAGGGAGAAGGGAGAGAGAGAGAGAGAAGATGGAGGAGGGAGAAGGGAAAGAGAGAGAGAAGAGAGAGAGGAAGATGAAGCAGAGAGAAGGGAGAGAGAGGGGGGGGTGAAGGAGGGAGAAGGGAGAGAGAGAGAGAGGAAGATGAAGGAGGGAGAAGGGAGAGAAAAAGAAGCGGGAAGAGAAGAGAGGGACAGAGCAGGAGGAAGATTGGAAGATTAAGAGAAAGAGATGAGGAGGAAGGAGAAGGGGAAAGAGAAGGAGGGAGAAAGATCATGAGAGGGGGCGGGAGAGACGCTGTCAGCCACTCTTTGTGTGTAGTCCTGAGAACGATTACGATTATGAAAAGGTCACGATTAGTGGAGTAATTGCTGCAGTCGTCAGTGTGTTTTATTGGTGAAATCAGAACTGTTGTGTACATTCACTTAGCTCTCGCCCTGATGAACATGATGGTTGCTAGGTAACATGAATGACCATTACATATGTCATATCTGCTGTGTCCAACTGGGACGTCAAATCAGAAACTTCACCTGGATTCTTATCACTGCACATGTTAAGAATCAAACACGTTTTCTTTCCTGCTGTAAATGAGTCAAACCTGAGCTGGACTTTCCCGTCTTTAGCCCTGACCCCGCGTGACCCCTCCCTGACCCCTCTGTGACCCCTCCGTGACCCTTTCAACTAACCTTTGACCTCTCCTCTCTCCAGTGTCTGTATGGGTGCTACGTCCACTCCTCCATCATCCCCACCTTCCACCGCAGATGCTATTGGCTGCTGCAGGTAAGCCCCGCCCCCTCCCTCCTGCTTCACATGTATGACCTTTGACCTACCTCATTGTTTACACTTTTATTCATGGGTTTCTGAAGTATGAACAATAGGCTCTGTTCACGCTTATGTCACAAAGCAGGAGGACGTTTGGAAACAAAAAACAGTGGGTTCTGTTCTCGGTCGGAAGTCGTACAAAAACTAGGAAAAATGAGAAAATGACAGTTTTCTTCATCTTCATATTGTTGTAGTGTTTCATTATTTTCGGATAATCAACTATTCCAACCGTAACTCAGTTTTCATCATTTCCTCACTGACGCACAACTCTGAGCGCACTGGGTACATGCAATTTATTTTATTTTATTTTGTTTTATTTTATTTTCAATGTATTTCAATTTATTTCATTTTATCTTATTTTCATTTCATTTCAATTCATTTTATTTTATTTTATTAAATTTTCATTTCATTTCAATTTATTTCATTTTATTTTATTTTGACTTGTATATTTACATTTATATAATTATGTCTTTTTTGACATGTGTCTCTTGCTTTTTTTTTTTTTTTGGTTACTTATTTAGAATTTATTATTACCATTTATATTTTTGCTCTTTCTTATTCTATTACATTGTGATGTGTGACTAATGTATCCAAATCATTTTGTCGATCAGTAAAGTTTGTCTAAGTTTAAAGGGACAGTTCAGAATTTTGGACATAGGACCTCATTTCCTAGAGAGCCAGAGTGTTGGAGACGTGTGGAGATACTTTAAAAAATATTTCATCCAGTCCTTGTATTTGCAGAGGTCGCTGGTGCTAGACTAGTGCGTGTCAATGGTCATAGTTATTCTGCCACTAAAAACAGTCTTACCCACTCCACAAAACACCCGAAACAAATCTATTATTACACCAGACTGTTCATGTGAATGTCTGTGTTGATAGAATAATTTTAGAAGTAAAACTAACCTTTGTATTTGAAGGATTTATGTCTGAGCAGCAACAGTGAGTTGTACTTCCTGATAGAAAGCTCTGCAGTGGTGGACTGATATCACCAGCACCATGGATCTATTAAAATAACTGGATACACTATTGCTGCTTGTAGCTGCCTCAAGTTAACATAGTGACACTCACTGGTACTACAGTGGAATAAATCCCATGGGCCAAGAGAAGATTTTTCTCATAGAGACAATGTCATCACAAACTGCTCGTGTTCGTCTGACAGGGACCTACAGCTTTCAAAAATATTGGATTTTGTGGCGATTTGTACCTATTTTTAGATCATACACTTTTTCTCAGCTCAAAATCCTTCAGTTGTCTTAAAAACCATTTATCATTCATCACTTAGATACACGAGCTCGCACTCCGTGCGTGCGTTCTCGTGCATTGGCGTGTGCCTGCAGGAGAAAAGACACTACTGCACATGCTCGGTCGGCCCACAGCCACTGGAAGTACCTCGCCGGGCTAAAGGCTAATCTGGAATCATGCTCCTTTGAGCTTGGCCCATTGGCTTGGACGTGCAGCCATTTTGGAACCCCGGGGCTTGCCTAGCACCAACTGGTTCTGTGATAGTTTGTTTAGCGACACATAGAGCACATGAAGAAGTCTGTTGCAGTTACAGTTATGGCCATGTTCACATCATCACGACTAACTAGAGCAAAGTAAAAATCCGCTGCTGCCGAGAAAATAGTCCCTCAACATGAGACGATTCACGTGATACAAGGTTAGTTTTACTTCTAAACTTATTCTATCAACACAGACATTTACATGGACAGTCTGGTGTAATAATAGATTTGTTTCGGGTGTTTTGTGGAGTGGGTAAGACTGTTTTTAGTGGCAGGATAACTATGACCATTGACATGCACTCCACACATCTACAGTACTCTGGATCACTAATGAGGTCCTATGTACAAAATTCTGAACTGTCCCTTTAAGTCTAAGTCTAATTAAAAGAGATGAGGCCAAATTGCAGATGGTTCCAAACAGCACATACATCTGCAGTTTTCATTTTACTTCAGTGGGTTTGATCACAGTGGGTCGGTGAGTCCAGTGTCGGGAACTACACCGGAGGTTTTCATCACATTCAAATGTCTTCCTGGTTTGTGATGTAAGCGTGAATAGAGACTATAGGGACTGTTGCCATAGTGATGAACAGTTTACAGCAACATATGATGTCTTTGAATGGAAAGAAGTCCTTGAAGGATCAAATATTCATTCATGCACAAAATGTTGTGTTTTCAAAGGATTTTCAAAAGTACAGAAAGATCTCTTGGACTTACAATGCATTATATCTGTTTCTTTTTGAAGTGTTTTTTTTTTTTTTTTCCTCAGCATTTTTTGTTATAACTGCTATACTTTTTGACTTTTGCATATCTCCAAAATCTTTGATCATCCGCCCACTGTAATTGAGTCTCTTATTCTGGTTATGAACTGGACTTTAAATAATGAGCTCAGTTGTGGAGGTTACAGCAAAAGCACTAGTTTCCATTTCCATTTAAGACATGTTCTAATGTTGTTCCTTCCTCAAAATCACAAAACCTGGAGTTGGGATTTGTTTCATTCACACTTGTCTGAGTAATCCTTTATTAGTCTGTCTGAATCTCCAAAGCTCCAAATGATCTACTCCACCTTCTGATGTCAGGTCGTGGCAGTTTTCAAGTAAACAACTATTATCCAAATGATTCTAGTGAAGGTGTGTGGAGTTTAAAAACACAGAAGAGCACTTCCTGAATTACCACGTGACATCACAAGGTGGAGCAGAGTGTTTTCTGAGTGAGAGAGTCCTGGTTTAGTCCAGGTTTAGTCTTGATTTAAATTCTGGTTCCTCTCAATGCTGAGGTTTAATTTTAAATCAGGACTAAACCAGAACTACATTAGACTCTTTCTGCTCTATTTTGATCACGAGAGAGAGAGAGAGAGAGAGAGAGAGAGAGAGAGAGAGAGAGAGAGAGAGAGAGAGAGTAAATAGAGCTAAAGGAGAGAGTGATGAAAGGAGCGTGTTGTTAAATTTTTTATGGAGGTGAGAGAAGCATATCTGACACGCCAAGTCTGACCTCCTCTATGACCTACACTCTCTATTCCCTCCCTCTCTCCCTCCCTCCCTCTTTCCCTCCCTCCCTCTCTTCCTCCCTCCCTCTCTCTCTTTCTATCAGAGTGTATGGGCATAGCTAACCCACTAGCCACCATGTTCCAAACAGGAAGTGAACATGGCAGTACTTCCGGCTCCATCATCTTTAAACTCTTAAAAATTTATATTACCCACTCGACATGATCCTGTTTTTATTTTGCTGTTTTGTCTGTAAATCAACTCCTCTTCCTCATATGGAACTAGGATCCAAATCAGCAGAAATGTTCTTGTGTAACTGCAGGCCCCATCAGCTTCATTTGACTGGAGCTGAGCTCTGTGTTGACATCACACTTTAGTGCACTTCTTTATTCTCTCTATAAGTGCCTGTGTACAGCCACAGCCCACTGCTCGAGAGCCTGGATCACACACATCGCACACACGGGTCCTGTACACACTCAAGACAGACTGTGCAAATGGCCCGGCGGCCAAATGAGGCCCTCAGAACAGTTTTTGTTGGCCCACAGGCTTCCTGCTGAATTGGACCATACAATCAAATGTAATACTTTTCACTGCAAATTAAAAAAAAAATTAAAAATCATCACAATTGTTTATGCTTTGATTATGTTTATTAGTGTGTTTGTTTGTGTGGGTTTGTTTACTTTTTTGTGTTTTTTTGTGTGTGTGTTTTTTTTTTTTTTTTTTTTTTTTATGTGTATTTGTATGTTTTGTTTCTGTGTTTTTTTGTTTATAAGTGTGTGTTTGCTCCTGTGTGCATGTTTGTTTGTGTATTTGCGCGTGTGTGTGTGTGTGTTTGCTCACATGTGTGTTTTGTGTTGTGTGCAGAACCCTGACATCGTGCTGGTGCATTACCTGAACGTGCCTGCGGTGGACGACAGTGGGAAACCCTGTGGTCCTGTGCTCTGCTCCATCAACACAGACAGAAAGGAATGGGCCAAATGGAGCAAAGAGGAACTCATCGGACAACTCAAGCCTATGTGTGAGGAACCAGGACTAAACCAGGACTAAACTAGGACTGAACCAGGACTAAACCAGGACTAAAGCAGGACTGAACCAGGACTGAATCAGGACTGAACCAGGACTGCACCAGGACTAAACCAGGACTAAACCAGGACTGAGCCAGGACTAAACCAGGACTAAACCAGGACTAAAGCAGGACTAAACCAGGACTGAACCGGGACTAAACCAGGACTAAAGCAGGACTAAACCAGGACTGAACCGGGACTAAATCAGGACTAAACCAGGACTAAAGCAGGACTAAACCAAGACTGGACCGGGACTAAACCACAACTAAACCAGGAGTAAAGCACAGCTTAGACAGTTGCAGGTTCGACTCCCGGTCTCTCTGTGTGGAGTTTGCATGTTCTTCTTGTGTCTGAGTGAGTTTCCTCCAGTTTTCCCCATGAACCCAAAACATGCACAACAGGTCAAATGGTCCAGCTGAAGGAGTCCTGACCCAGACCAGGTCAAGATGTGGAGCTTGTCTTCCTGCCCCTGACAGGTTTAACCCAGAGACACTGAAGGACGGTCAAATTTCCCTATGGGGTAATAAAAATTAACCTTAACCTTGAACCAGGACTAAATTAGGACTAAACCAGGATTAAACCAGACCTTAATCAGGACCGTCACTTTTTAATCAGTTCAGGAACAGAGTAGTTTTGAGGCTGACCCTGGTGTAACTTGAATCTTTGCTGCAGGAGCACAAATATCCTGTTTAATAGTTTGACCTTGAACAGTGTGAGCCTGTGTAGTTTGTGAAGCCTGTGCTGCTCACCCTGCCCCATGCTTCCTCCTGCTGGTCAGCTCTGACACTGCAACTGTGCAGGAGAACAACAGCACACACTCTCCCCTCATACTAGATTCACTTACAAAACTAGACCCAAGCCAGGACTTCACCGTCACATATTTGCATTTTATGACATCCTGTATTAGGGCTGCAAGCTGTAAGTCGTCTAATAAAATTGTAATTTCTTAACAAATTATTTTAATGGGATTAGAAAGATTTATATGGACCACAGCAAAAAGAAGGCAAGAGAAGGTCTGGAGTGAGCTAGCCACAGATTTAGGGATTATCTTGCTTTTCCAATATTAAAGCCACAGTATGTCACTTTTTTAGTTCAAAATACAAATAAAAAGCAAAAGTGACTCTCTCTCTCTGTCTCTCTCTCTCTCTCTCTCTCTCTCTCTCTCTCTCTCTCTCTCTCTCTCTCTCTGTCTCTCTCTCTCTCTCTCTCTCTCTCTCTCTCTCTCTGTCTCTCTCTCTCTCTCTCTCTGTCTCTCTCTCTCTCTCTGTCTCTCTCTCTCTGTCTCTCTCTCTCTCTCTCTGTCTCTCTCTCTCTCTCTCTCTCTCTCTCTCTCTCTCTGTCTCTCTCTCTCTCTCTCTCTCTCTCTCTCTCTCTCTCTCTCTCTCTCTCTGTCTGTTGCTTAGGTGCAGGGAGCAGTCTGCATCAGAAATGTTCCAGTGTGAAGCAGAGGATCATCTCGTCGAAGCAGGAGCCTGGAGTGGGTGTGGAGAAGAGCGAGGAGAGCGAGGCCAGTGAGGTTCAGAACAGTGACGTGTCTGAGGGACAGACAGAGACCTCCACCAATGGTACACACGTCCTCACTACAAACACACATGCTTTAAAGCTCTTACATTACACTAAAGGGACTCTTGTGAGCTTTGAGTCCGGTTAGGATGCTGTTACCTCCTCAAAAACGAAAGCTCAAAATGCTCTGTTTCACCTTGTGATGTCATGTAGTGGTAGTATTCATGTGGAAAGCTCTTTAGTTCAGTAGAGAATGACAATTCCAGGCCTGAAATCATCCAAATGATTCTACTGAAGTTTTATAGAGTTTAATAGTATTACCATATGACATCACAAGGTGGAACGAGTGATTGAGAGTGATTGAGAGTGATTGAGAGAAGAACTCTGGTCTGTGTGTGATGAGGAAACAAGAAAAAGGCTTGATACTTGATGATATTTTTGATACAATAGTAATATAAACACTCTTTTATACAACATAATGTCATTTTCAGAAAGTACCATATTTTCTGCACTATAGGACGCGCTCTTAAGTCTCCAACCCCATCAAAAAACGACCATGCATCCCACAATCCAGAGAGCCCTATACATGAATCCACTTGGGTGTCCCACAAAGCCGCACCACCTGCAGAACACACAAACACACGGCGCAGACAGCGACTGCACAGCGAAACACACCCACAGACACACTCAACACTCCACGCCGACGAGGAAAGGAACGGAGGAACGAACCGAAAAAGCGAGTCCAATGTGCCACTTCTAGACACAGCTGAACAATTGAGTCACTGCGACACGCCAACAATCCAGCGGTCCCAGACAGCACCCTCCTTACACGCCACAACTGAACGCGTGAACGCGACAAGCAAACAAAACCACTCACCCATCCAACTGTTGTGTTTCCTTTAAAGTCCCATGCGGTTTATTTGTGAAAAAAGTTTGAAAATAGACCATTTAATGACAGTGTGCCTTATAATCCAGAGCGCCTAATAGCCCGGAAAATACGGTAACTGTAGATTCTTTGACAGCACAGGAAAGTTACATCATGCAGCTTTAATAAACATAAGAAGTGAATTAAAACAAGTGATGCGTGTAAAGTGAATCTCATTGACTAAAATAATGAAATATAGATGCAGGTGACAGAAACTGGAGTATTTGTGTCAGTGGCATAAAGTAGCTGCAGTATTACTATAGTATATCTGTAGTATTATCACACACGTTGTGTTGTGTGTTGTGTGCAGCGGTGTCGAGCAGAAGTCGTGGGTCTGATCGTAGAAATGGCCGCCTCCCCAAACCCTCGCTCCTCCCACAGAGTAGCATGGAGGTGTCATCCTCGACCAACACGGCCCAGGTGGAGGTTCCAGACACCACCCAGAACTCTCCCCTCTCCATGGGCTCGGACATGGCCGACAGCCCCGCCCTCTCCTCCATGGGGGCGGGGCTAAACCAGAGCACGGCCGTGTTCATGTCCGAGGTGACCACTCTGACTGGAGAATCTGTTTACTCCACTGGACACACACATCTGCTGGGGCCTGCACACGAGGGAGCTGCTACAGGTGAGAGAGTGTAACACTTGTGTACAGGGACACGTGAGAGTCTGATTAAAGAGCCACTGCGAAACATTTCAGGCTCAGCAAATACATAAAGTGTAACAGCAACTATGTGCACTGGGACAGGGAAGTGTGAGTGTGACTGAAGTGCAAATGACAGGTTTCATGTTTCAGACTTGGTTTGATGGGATGGAGCCAGTGGTCAATATTTAACATAGTTTTACATTTGGTAAATTACTGGAAAACATATGTCTGTCACATCTGCTGCCATAAGTTGTTATATAAATGGACATAAATAGGAGGTGAGCACAGTAGTGACTCGGCTCCATCGACTCTGGCTCCAGTTCACTCTCTATTGAAAAACCTCTCTCTGTAATTGCTGCACAACATGTTGCTTTATTTCCCTATTTTGTCCTTAAATCAAGATATGAACATTAATAACAGACCAGCCAGATGCCTTCATTTCTCAGGGGCAACTGATGTCTGACTTAGAAAATGTAGTTAATTACAGTGATTGTTATTGCTCAGAAATAGCTTAACAATAATTTTTGCTGTGAATGGCATCACCTCTGTACAGATCTGGCTTGTAACTTATATTTTTGTATCATTTCCCAGGCTTGGCGACTGGTATCCTTCTGGCCGTGACTCCTGAAAACTCACAGCGATTTCCTTCATTCTCTGGAGGGGTGGGGTTGGGCGACGGGGGCGAGCTCGTCCTCTCCAGCTCTCTGGACTCCAGCGCGGGGGTCAGCCTTCCCGAAACCACCATGACCTTTGACCCCGACTGCTTCCTCAACAACCCCAAACAAGGCCAAACCTACGGCGGAGGCAAGAACCAAAACTGCAACCGAAACGACGAAATTCACTGCCCTACCAATGTGTTTTACAATTCTGCGCTGGTTAATAACATCAAAACAGAAGCTACAAATCTGGAGCAGCCACTGGCCAATCAGAGCGGCTACGAATCCACTGGTTTGAGCCCAAGTACGACTCTGGAGCAGATGGATTTTAGCGCTGTTATGTCATCAAGTTTAGCCCAACAGGCGCACCACCCGTCTCCCACCCTCTTCCTCCAGACTTCTCCGCAAACAAATCAAACGCTCCCAAGCAATTCCACAGAGGCCAGCCAAGAAGAAAGCCAAAATTACATTGCGTTATCCAATGTTTCAAATGCATCCCCAGTCACAACTAATGGAGGCGAGAACCACGCACATTTGCAACAGGCGAGCCCCGATCAGCAAACCATGTGTGGGAGGAATTCCACTTTGGATGGGCAAAACGATCAACCCAAATCTAGCGATAAAGCGGTAGATAGCAACGAAGATTTGATGTTGAAATCAGAGGATGCGTACGCGACTGGGGTCAAAGTTGAACACTATTTGCAAGAAGAAAACAGAGGAAGAGAAGAGGAAGCGGCCAATTCGGGGGAAAGTGAAATTTTATGCAATGGGGTGAATTCTGTAGGCACAAGTCCACAGTCTATAGCTCAGAATGGCAGCATAGATGGTAGTTTGTACAGCTCGCCGATGCCCCAGCAAGGAGTGACAGCCAATACCAACGCATCGGGGGCGGGCATAAGTTTAGAAGGGTTCGAGGCTTCGTTTGGGAGCCAGTTTTCAGATCTGATCAATGATTTCATCTCGGTGGAGGGCTCAGGGGCAGGGGTGGGGGGAGGGGTGATGATGACTCAGGAGGGGGCCGGGGCAGAGGAACAAGGCAGTGCACAGACTCACCTGCAGGGGGCAGCGGTGGAGCAGGCGTCGCTGGGGTTGCTACAGGATACTGGGAGACTGTTCGGAGTGACGGACTATTCGCCCGAGTGGTCCTATCCAGAGGTGAGTGTGATCACACGCACAGGGACACAACAACACAACTATGTGGTTCCATCAGATAACATGTTCTGATCTATGTGCTACTGTTGTTTCCTCATCACAACTAAAAATAAATCAAATGTTGATCTTTGTGATGGAAGTGTTTACTGTTTGAGAGATTAGCTCATCTTAAATCTGCAGGGTTTTTATGTCAAACCTGTGTGAATGAAAAAAAACACAACTCCGGGTCTATTTACTTTTTGTTTTAAGCTAGTTGTAGTTGACTAAAATGCTGAATTCTAAATAGTTTAGTCAAACAGAATATATTCTAGCTCTGATAAATGCTCTGTTTGTAACTGTGAGTTAGTTCTGGTCTGGTTTGGGGCTCTGGGAATTTAAAGTAGAACTTGGATCTACTTTACACTTTTCATTCATAATTAAAGGTCCTGCATTATGCAAACTGACTCCACTGAGGGTTTAGACATGTTATAATGTTCCCTTCTCAGAAACAGAGCTGGAGTTGTGTTTTGTTTCATTCAAACATGTTTGAGTAACTCTTTATTATTAGTCTGTCTATACAATATCTCCAAAGTTCAGAAAGCTCTGTTCCACCTTGTGATGTCATGAAACAATAGTTTTCAAGCTAGCAGCTAACAGCTACATTCTAGTTTTAGTTGAGTGGAGATTGACAGTTGACCGGGGCTGAAATCTTCCAAATGATTTTAGTGAAAGTGTGTGGAGTTTAAAAACATAGTGGAGCACCTTTCTGTTTAAGAAAAGAACTGTGTGAATGAAACAAAACACAACTCCAGCTACTTTTTTGATGAAGAAACAACAATATAACATAGAGCAGAAAATAGTGTAATATGGACCTTTTCACCTTTAACTAGAATAGAAATATTTCTAGTGACTTTACTTCCGTGATTCCAGGCACGGGCACATGTCAGAGGGTCAGAGAAAACTGTACTCAAATATATATACTACACTATACATGGGTTCAGAAGGACAAAGTAGGACCTTTGTCATAGTGATTAACAACTCCAAACAAAAACTGTTATCTTTGGAAAAGTCCTCAAAATGGCACATTTAAGCAGAACCCTGACACCCACGAATATTCTGCATAAGGACTCTAAGACACATTAGAACAGGGGTGTCAAACTCATTTTGGTCCGGGGGCCGTATCCAACCTACTTTGATCCCAAAGGGGCCGGATCAGAAAACTCATGGCATATAAACTCCAAACATAAAAATAAGTTCAAATATTTGTGCAGAGAAATGCAAATCTATTACAGAAATCTTTTTTAATTGATGAACTCTTTCTTTTACAAAATATTATAATATTATGAACAACCTGAAACAATTTCAACACAATGTTTTAACATGAACTTGTCTGCAAATAGGAATAAGTCAATTTTTCTTGGAAAATCCTGCACTTGGCTCCACTTTTCTCATTTTGGACATTTTGTTGATGAGGGTGTCGCGGTCAACAGTCAAAACAATCGTCTTTTAAGAGCGTTTGGAAAGAGACAAGTCTTCATTTGTGCTGCTCTGGTGGGAGGGGCCACGTACAGAGGCACTGGAGACGCTGTTGTGATAAACAGCACAAAAAATTAACAATATTTTAATAGAAAATATAATTCAAATATTTTAGTAGAAAATCACTCCGCTTTAGACTCTTCACTCCGTGTTAGACTGTACTCTTCACACAACAGTCCTGGTAAATGACCGTTGTAGCCACAACTGTCCTGAGTCACAGACATGTGGCTGCTATTGCCAATTTGTGTTCTCTTTGACACCTACAGTGGCATCACTCCCACACCACACACATAAAAGCAAGTTGGGTGAAGTGTTTTGCCCAAGGACACAACAACAGTATGAAGAGTCATCTGTTGCATCATCCACATGTTTTTTCAGAGTAACCCTTCTGCAGGAGACGTTAAATGTTCAGAGCGGGCCTCTCATAGTGTTTGATGAAATTTCAATAGAACATTGATTCTGTGGCTTTGCTGTATTTAATTATCCATGTCCATGTGTCTGTGTTTATTGAAATCTGATGAATTATGATGCAGGAAATTCAATATAGTAATCTGCATTCCAATTGAAAAAGTAATGAAGAAAAAGTGTATGTTAAAAAGTATTAATATGAAATATTTTCTACATTTATTTCAGAGCGGGTGACGATGTACAGACTTAGACTTAGACAAACTTTATTGATCCATAAGGGAAATTATCACACATCACAAAAAAAAAAAAAAAAAAAAAAAAAAAAAAATATATATATATATATATATATATATATATATATATATATTATATATAATAAATTCTAGTTTCTACTTATTTAGAATTTATTATTAGTATTTTTACCTTTACTATTTTTATTATTTTATTATACTAATTATACTATACTTATATTATACTAATTTTATTATTACTATTTTAAAAAGAGCAAGAGATGTGTCAACTAAGACATAATTATATAAATGTAAATGCACAGGTCAAAATAAAATAGAAAAATAAGAAATAAAAAATGCTACTGTACGCTGCAACCACTGTCTCAGGCGCTCAGGGCATGAAAGATATTGTATTGTATTGTATTGTATTGTATATTGGTTTATATTTCACAGTATATTTCCGGTATATTCCAGGGTGGGGTGAAGGTATTGGTTTATGTTTCACAGTATATGTATTGTATGTGTATATATATATATATATATATATATTCCAGGGTGGGGTGAAGGTGCTGATCACTGGGCCCTGGTTGGAGTCCACTTCAGATTACAGCTGTTTCTTTGACCACATCAGTGTCCCAGCAGCTCTCATCCAGCCTGGAGTCCTGCGCTGCTACTGCCCTGGTGAGGAACATACTTTTTATTTAATATACTAGAGAAACACCAAAGAATAAGACTCAAGTACAAATCCACCACTTACTGTATATGGCACATTTTAGGAACTTCTCTATTACAGAACATGTTGTGCTTGTGTGTCCTCTATAGTTATAATCTAGGACACCTGTGGATTCTTATGTGATGTTAAATCTCAATCTAAAACAACTTAATAAAAGAAACAAGTCCGCTGATTTCTGTATTAAAAAAAACGTTGGCAGCTCCTATGAATAGGAAGAAGTACTTTTTGCCGAATCCTATGTGTGTCACTGCTTAGTACAGCCGGCAATACAGAGCCTGTCATGTGGTAATACAGAAAATGCTCCACGTTTTTAAACTCCATACACCTTCACTAGAATCAGATCATTTCTACCCTGTATTTGCCAATCTCTACTGAACTAAAGGTAAATGGAGCAGTTAACTTGAAAACAACAGCTTCATGAGACACGAGATGGAACAGAGCATTTTGAAATTTGGAGACGTAGACAGACTAATAATAAAGGAATAAAGAGTTACTTAAACATGTGTGAATGAAGCAAAACACAACTTCTGGTCTGTTTGTGAGGAGGAAACTATATTCTAACGTGGCTTAAAATTCACAAGAGTCACTTTGGTGTAATATAAGACCTTTAATTCCTCTGATTCTTACTGTTGTGTGTAGCTCACGACGCAGGTGTGTCTGATGTGTTTAAATAACTCTTGTGTGTGTTGTTTGTGTGTAGCTCACGACACAGGTCTGGTGATGCTGCAGGTGGCCATGGGAGGAGAGGTCATCTCCTCATCTGTGGTGTTTGAGTACAAAGCTCGAGACCTGCCCGCTCTGCCTTCCTCTCAGCACGACTGGCTCTCTCTGGACGGTACGCACAAGTCTGCAGCACAACACACACACACACACACAGAAAAGAGAATCTGGCCCCGGCCCCTGTCTTTTGTTGTAAGAAAGAATCATGTAAATATATGACACTATGCAATATTCCAGAGTATGGCATTAAACATACCTGTAGTATTTATATCACTATGGAGTATCTATATTGCTCAAGAATACCCTGGAAAAATTCTTACTGTAGCAGGGCTCCCATTTCCCCAGATCTGACCTGTCACTTGGCCTGGCAGTTACGTTTGTGTCCTTGAAGATATTAAGTTTAATGCCTTACTGAGTAACATTCAGAGCTTTAACATCTCCATGGAGATAAGATGGAGCTGGACCCTCCAGAATACAGAATACAGAACATAGTGCACCTTTAAGGTTATTCATACTTTACTGTATCTTCACTATAAAGTGCTTTAGAATTCGATGCAAACAGTGGACTTATTTTGACCTTAAGAGCAGCTTGAGACACATTTTACTCAGATACTCAGATGGGAAAAATCAGGTACAGGCTCGTTAAATCACGTTTTTAATTTGTCTTGTCTGTTTTGTTAGATACACAGTTCCGAATGTCGATCCTGGAGCGACTGGAGCAGATGGAGCAGAGGATGGCCGAAATCTCAAATCCAAATCTCAACTCTGACTCCACAGGTCCCAAAGGAGGAGGAGCCGAAGGAGGGGCGATAGAGCAGGTGAGACAAGGGGAAAGTTACATATTGCACCTTTAAAATATAAAAAAGTCATTTTATGTCTACCAGGTTAGAAATACTCTTACTGGTATTCTGTTGCTCAGAGAACATGACCACATTGTACAGGGCAAACATATTTAATACAGATGGGAACAGCTCCAATGAATATTGTTAAAAAGCATGTTTTTCTTGTAATGCAATGAGGTCTTGGCTCTAGTAGCTAATGGAAATGATCAGGTTCAACATTTGTAAATTTACCTTTTGGAATATTTCCATTAAGACAGAGTTTTAAAATCATTTGGAAACTCAAGAAAAAAAATACAAAATGGATTTAAACAACACATTTTCAGGAGCCTCTGGTGAATAGTTCTAAGTCAGTTCTTTAGAGTTACATTGTGTTATAATAAAGTTCTGATTAAAATCTAACTTGAATAACAGAGCTTCAGACAGAGTAGTGCTTTTTGTTAGCATCACACTCCCAGGGAATGTTGTATCAAAGTATGTATCAAAAGGTAAAACTGTCTCTTGCCCCGACATCATCACATTCTAGAATCTGTAAACCACCAATAACATGATTAAAAGATGAAAAATGCCTTTGTCCTCATACTAAAATGCAGGTCTTGTCTCCTCAGTGTTTGGAGCAGAGTTCGTTTGAGGCGCGTGTACTGTCTCTGTGTGAACAGATGATGGCGCAGTCGTGCTGGGCTTCTGGCTCAGACCTGGATCACAGTAAAAACTCCAGAGGGATGACTCTTCTGCACCTGGCTGCTGCTCAGGGCTACGCAGGGTTAATCAACGCTCTACGGCGATGGAGGTGAGAGACACGACTGAGACCACAGTCAAGGAATACTACAGAAATACAGTATGAAATAGGATAATCACGATCTGCAGAAAGGTCCCCAGGTGTTTGCTGAGGTGGAGTCATAGAACATATTCCCTGTGCCAAATTTGGAATTGTTTGCTCACTTATGATGTGTTTCGATGTAAAATTCCTAGATAAACACCAGGACAGTGGAACTTCCTATTTGTGAACAGAGAGATAGTCAGTGGATTCCCACATTACATACAAATGAAACCCCGATGTATTACAACAATGTAATCACCACAAAAAGTGAATAACCACCACATAAAAGATGAGAAAGATTTTCTTCAGGTTCAATTTGACAATATTCTGCTATTGAACATGTTAGAGACTAACTTTTCATACACGTTCGTTCAACTGCAACTCAACGTAATGTTCAAATTAAAAGTGCAGTTTATTTGTTACTTTTGCAGTGTGTTACTCCTGACACAACACAAGGTTTGGCCCTTTACACCATGGACAGATGTTGTATATTCAGCTATTTCCTTTGTCTCTTACAGAACTAAACATTCAGACAGTATCGAGCTAGAGCTGGAGGTGGACCCGCTGAACGTGGATCACTTCTCCTGCACTCCTCTGGTGAGTCTCATTGTCTGTAACAACAACACATCAACAATCTACAACAACAGCAATCTACAACAACAGAACACAACACCAAATATATGGAGGTTTGGAGAAATGGAAAAATTCATACTGTCCACTGCAAATTGTATCTGTACAAATGAATAACTTATACTTTGCCTTTCCTCATCTCACTCTATCCTTTCACTGTTTATCTCCCTCCACCCTTTTCTCTTTTCTCCTCTACCTCTTCTACTCTTTTTTTCACTTTCTGTGGCCATCTCTTCTCCCCCCCCTCTTCCTCTTCTACCCCTTCTTTCAGATGTGGGCATGTGCTCTGGGCCACACTGACTCCGCCCTCCTCCTGTACCAGTGGGACCACAGAGCTCTGTCCATCCCGGACTCTCTCGGCCGCCTCCCCCTGACCATCGCCCGGTCTCGGGGTCACACTCATCTCGCGGAGCTCCTGGAACAGCTCCAGACTCCCCCCTCCACCCCCAGCACGCAGAGACCAGCACACACCACCAGAGGGCAGCACAGTGACAGCTCAGAGCAGAGGAGAGGAGAGTCGGACCACAGCGGGAGCACAGGTGAACATGATGCTTTTACAGATCATCTTTTAAAATGTAAATGAACTAACCCTGAGAACAAAATGGTTCCATCTCTGTCTGCCTGTCTCTTTCCTCTGCATTTTAAATAAGTTCTAAAGGCTATGATTATTTAAAGGTGCACTGTGTCAGTTTTCTGGGACAGGGTTCACCACCAGCTTGTCTCCCTGGAAATGTTACTCATGTTATGGATATCATGTTTCTATTATATATAGTCTGATATTAATGATTGATTTACACAAACACACATTACACATTTACACATTATTTTACACAAACCATAACGATAACATGATATTAAATGTTTACAAAAGTGTCTCAAATTGTTTTAAAAATTGCTGAATTCTTGGTATCATCCACCCCTCCTAACACATGCAGACACAGAGGGTGAAGTGTCTTGCCCAAGGATGTAAAGTTTATTGACCAGCTCCAGTACTCATATGCCTGACTTTTTTGTCCTCAGAGGTGAAGACAGAGACTCAACTGGACCCAAAGTCCTGGAGCCAAAATCAGTGCCACCCCCATGAAGACGCCCCTCCGGCCAAGAGACCCAAGCCCAGCTCTGACACTCCTCCTGGGCAGCAGCTGGCTCCTCTGCCCCCTGGACCCCCCACCCTCACCTCTCTGCTCAACTCCTCTACCAAACCCACTCCTCTCCCCTGCATTACCTCCCCTCACCTCCAGAGGACACCCCTTCACCTGCAGGCCAGGACAGGGGGCTTGGGGGGGCCACGGTGGGGGCTTGGCCAGAGGAGCGTGGCCCGGAGGATTATGGGTAAAGAGCGGTTGGTAGGGCATCTGAGGCAGAGGGTGGTGAGCGAGAGAGGAGACACGGAGCTGCTCAGTATCCACGACAGCGAGGATGTGCAGGTAAACGGGCGGGGGGAGAGGCACAGGTGACATCACAACACTACAATGGACTTTTCTGATCTTTCTATCATGTTCTAATGTTGTTACCTCATCAAAAAACATGCCTGAAGAGGTTTCAGATGTCATCCATATATGTTTGAGTAATCTAGCAATCTCTCCTGGGCCCTATTTGAACCCTCTTTGAGCTCTCTACCCTCTTTAGCTGTTGGATTCTCTCCAGTGCTCAGCCCGCAAGCCTACGTCACCATCTTCCCACACAACAATTCTCCATAAATATTTAAAAACATGGTATAAAATAATATACAAAAGCAGGATACAAAACAATACTCTACAACTTCACAAACCTGATGCACTGTGCAGCAGTTTCATTAGAGGGATGCGCTGATTGTCTTGTGATAGTGTTCTAAAGGGAGAGTGACTTAGGTCACACTAGGACTTTAGAACCATGCGGTGCTCAAGTACGATTGCTGTGAGTTCTATGTTCCACACTCACAAACTGAACCGAGCCACGGTCGATAATGTCATCACATGGCTCTGTTTGTTTACATGTTGCACAGTAGTGTTATCGCTTGTAGCACAGAAAATAAGTCCAGTGGCATGAAATATCTATTAAATGGTGAGACAGATGTGCCTATTCTTATGATATGTGCTCCTCTGTGAGTTTATGGATATGAAAACAGTGTGGAGCACTGAGGACAGCCGCAGACAAGACGCAGGTAAACTTCTGTCTGTCATAGTCCTGATTGTAACCGCATATTTGCCGTATGTTTTGGAGTGGACTTTATTGACTGTTTTCCTCGTATGAGTAACATCAGCGCATCCACAGTACTTGTATAGTGAAGTCCTGCATGTGCTCATACATAGAGCCCGACTGATATATCGATTGGCCGATATTATCGGCCAATAGCGATACATCTCCAAGGGCCCATATCGGCCGATAATATTGGCCAACCGATATGCTTGCTATATGGGCCGATATTTCACGTGGGCATGTTATACCTTGTTATAAATCTTAGACTCTCTACATTATGTTCATTTAATCCAATTTACAGACAGATAGATGTCCTAATATGTGGCTCCACATCAGTATTTATCTGCGGAGTCATTTGACTGTGTGTGTCTGTACTGAACACACCACAGAGTCACGTCACTTCACTCACGTGTTCTTGTTTACACCCGCAGCGGTGCGCAACACTGAGATTATATTCTTTTTACGGACAATCGGTTTGAGTCTGGATTAAAACGACATTCATTAGTGCAGACTTTTGATGTGAGGAGGAGCCTGTGTGAGCGGTGAGTATTGGAAATACATCGACTTTGAAGCTAGTTTAGGCTAGCGATTAGCTGCTGTAGCTCCCACACATAAACAGACTGTTTTCTCTTCTGTTTGCCGTATATTTGTTACTGGACCTGTAAATGATATGATATGATATGTAAATGAGCTGTTAATAGACGTGTGAATGATCCACATTTATGCATATAATTAATTACCGCGGCGCGCAGTATTTACGACTAAAGGCTAATAGCGGTAGTTTCTTTAGTAGTTAGTAGTGATGGGTCAGTCGGAAACGAAACAACTCTTAGAGCCAGCTCTTTGAAGCGAACAACGGGAGCATGCTTCTTATTTCTCTTCACGCCGTGTGCAGGCTCAAAACGAAACTTTCAGAAATCCGCATGTGTATAGGATAGAAAAAAACTTGCATATTTGGCTGTAGTTCAGCATAAAATGAATAGACCAGGACTAATCTTGGGCTCGAGAGACGAGAGAGATAGAGACCAAGTCCCGACACTCAGTCCTGGTTCAGTTCTGGTTTAGTCCTGTTTTACACATTTAGATCTGTTTTAGTCCTGGTTTAGTCCTTTTTCAGTCCTGGTTTAGACCTGCTTTAGCCCTGCTACCCATCACTAGTAGCTAGAATGTGATCTACTGTCTGTAAATATGACACAAAGAGGCAGAAGAACAATAAATGTTGCTTAAATAAACCCAATTTAAAATCCACTAGAGCCAAACCTAAGTGTTTTAATCAATTCAAGAATTACTTTGAATTTTTACATCACTAAATATATTGGTGAGTATATTGGCTATTGGCAGCTCCAGCTCCCATTATATCGGTTTCATATCGGCCACAACAAAATTTATATCGGTCGGGCTCTACTCATACATGAGCTCTGTGCCGTGCTTTGGCTCATCTCCTCCAGCTGGGCCAAAGTCCCAATCGTGCCGCTCCTGGGCACGGTTTGATTGTGCTCACACTGGACAAACGCATCACGCTCTAGGGGCGATCCATGCTTGGGCACAGTTCTAAAGTCCTAGTGTGATTGCACCCTTAGAGCGAAAAGAATAGGAGGAAAGTGTAGAGCTGGAACTGATTAAAATGTTAATATGTTGTCTTGGGATAGGGTTTGCATTTTCAGAACAATAAAATGTAACACAGTGATCTAAATACTGTATGTTAAGTGTTAAGTGCAGTTAATACCCTACATGCTCCATTATACATAAACAACCTCCATACAACATCTGCAGATCAACTAGAGAGACAAACAACGGTTTTCTAATCGACTGAACCTTGTATTTTGTTCAGATGGACCTGTCTTTGTTGGCGGACCACATCATGGAGGCTACGTCAGAGCGACTAAAGCAGGAGCCAATGGAAACAGAGATAGACTCTCGGGGGGCGGGGCTTAGCAGTGATGTCACAGCTCTGTCAGGGTGCCTCAGTGACGTCGAGAGGTGAGACAGTGGATTCATTCATTACTTTAACCAGTTAAACAATGTTTAAACTGCCCAAAAACTGCCAGTAATCGTCCTTGCATTTTGGATGGAATTTTTAGTGCTGATGAGTAAGGCTGAACAATTTTGACAAAAATCATAATTGCACTTTTTTTTTTTATTATTATTATTATTTTTTGTCAATATTGCATTTTTTATTATTATTATTTTGAATGCATTATGCTCAAATAAAGAAAACAAAATTAAAAACCTATAACCAAGTAATGCTTTACTTTGCTGCTCAATTTTCCTGAAATAGGTTTATAAGAGCATTTACCACAATTACTTGTGGACAATAGAAATGCAAATGCAACAATTGCCAAAGGAGTGGGGCAAGTTGAAAAGAGAGAGAGGAGAGAAAGAGAGCACAAAGGCACATGGAACAGGAGGCAAAAGGAAGAGGCGAAATGTACACAGAACATCAATTCTTCTGTCAATCCTGCAGAACATCAAACAAGTTTAGACTTAAAAAGAGAGGGAGGAGTAAAAGAGCAGCCAAGCAAGGGTCAATGTGAGCGGTCAGACTGAGTGGTCAGTGTGGCTTGGGTGTAGCACTGCTAGTGTTATTATAAATAAATAACTCCTGTAACTCCATGATCTGACTCTAACGCTGAGGCCAAGCACACAGACAAAAGTGAAGCATGATTTCCCACAAACTTGCACTTCACTGACTGTGATAAATAATGATCGCAGATACTGTCCCTGTCAAATGCACTAATCTTTTTGCTCTGTTTCTCTAGGTTCCTCCACCCCGGCCCTCCCTCCCCCATCCCTAGGCTGAGCTCTCTGTCTGGGGAACAGCCTCCTCAGCCCAGCCCCTCTGAACTCCGGTTTCTCTGTGGAGCTGTGAAAGACCCAAGTCCCAAAAGTCCCTCCTCCCGATTCTCAATGAGTGAGTCAGAGCGTGCCGAGCTGTACGAGACCATCAGGCTAGCTCTGCTCTCCCTCCGAAAAAACAAGGTCTGCATTATCTGCTCCTCTTCTCTTCTGCATCCTCTTCTCTATCTGACCCTCTCCTCTGCTCATCTGCTCCATCTGACCTTCTCCTCTGGACCCTCTGCTGTCCCTCTTCTGTACCATATACTCATGCTCTCCTTTCTTTTGCAGGGTCCCATTCAGGAACAACGAAAAGAGATTGCAGCAGTGATTCAGCGCTGCTATAAGAGATACAAGCAGGTAACCAGCCACTAGTGTTGTCATTTAATTTTGTTACTAACAAATAGACTCAACACTCAATACTGATTCTGAAACTATGATGATCATGAAAAACTGTTTCTTTAGACAACAGAATGTGATTTTCACCATTAAATGGTAGTACTTTCTTTTCTATTCCCAGGTGTAGGGTGACCAGACGTCCCTATTTCCCCCGGGACAGTCCCAGTTTTGAGCCTGTCTCCCCAGTCCCAGCAGATTTCAATCCAATCCACTTTATTTCTTTAGCACATTTCACAAACAAACAGTTTCCAAAGTGCTGCACAAATACATAATAATAACAACAATAAAATGATAAAATAAAGTACTAAAATAATCATACTACATACATACATCTTAAAATAATAAAACCAGTCAAATAAAATAAGAACAAAATCATAGAATAGAAAAAAATAAACCAATATATAAATGAAATCAATAAAACCAATAAAAACACGTAAAAATAAATAAATAAAAGACACAGAGGAGCACACAACTCATGCGGTGTTAAAAGCCAGAGAATAAAAGTGGGTCTTAAGACGAGACTTAAACCTCTCCACTGTGGGGCTGTTCGGACGTGGGGGGGCAGAGTGTTCTAGAGTTTAGGGCCGACCACAGAGAAAGTCCTGTCCCCCCTGGTTTTAAGTCTCGTCTTAGGCACCAAGAGCTGGAGCTGGACCTCAGACCTCAGAGCGTGCCAGGGTGTAACTTTGGATGAGGTCCTAGACAGCCAGTCCATTCAAAGCTTTAAAAATGAACAATAAAATCTTAAAATCAGTTCTAAAATGAACAGGAAGCCAAAAGTCAAGAAGTGCAAATACGCGAGGATTGGGGTAATGTGCTCTCTCCTTTTAGTTCCTGTTAAAAGTCGCGCTGCAGAGTTTTGGACTAACTGTAGTAACGATAAAGTGTGTTTTGTGAAATGCCGGAATAAAGTGCATTACAGTCATCCAGGCGTGATGAAATAAAAGTGTGCATGACTTGTTCAAAAAGTTTAAAAGATAAAAAAGGTTTAACTTTAGATAAAAGCCGCAAATGATAAAAACTTGATTTTAAAACATTGTTGATCTGTTTACCAAATTTAAAATCACGTGATGCCGAGGTTGGTGACTGTGGGACAAACATAATTTTTGAGGGGTCCCACATCAATCAGGGATTTACACAAAACCAGTGATTTGTCCCAGTTTTATACAAGAAATGTCCCAGGTGTCCCTATTTTTGACCAATCTGATCCTGCCAACAGTAAACAGAGACATAAACTGTCATTTGTTTTGGTAAAATACAGAAAACCTGCTTCAAAATTACCAAAACACAAAAAAAATGTGACTGACTCACATACTGACTCATGTTAGAGCCGAGTGCACAACAATTTTCCTTAATAACACACAGTCGATTCACAATTTTATTATTACCAACCACCACAAACCGAGGGTGTCCAGTTTTTAATTTTGAAAATCTGGTCCCCCTCCCCATGTGGTCTTATGTGTGTATGTGTGTGATCATCAGTGGTGCAGTAGGTTCATGTTGGTCCATGTGTGTATACTAGTCTATGCGGTCTTCTACTTGTTCTGATACAACTCAACATTCAGGAAATTTCTGTCTTAAGAATGTGACTTTTTTAGTATTAATACCTGCTCAAATCTAGTATCTAGTATCTAGTATCTAGTTTCGATCCTAGCTTTAGTATTGCTTAGTATCAGATTTTTGATCCTTTTGCCTGTGTTCCATCTTGTGATACTCTGTGTTTCAGTATGCACTTATAAGAGGATGACCTTGGCTGCAGTCCTGATCCAGAGCCGCTTCAGGAGTTTAATCGAACAGAAGAAGTTTCAGCAAAGTCGCCGCGCAGCTGTTCTCATCCAGCAATATTACCGCTCGTACAGGCACTCGCTCAGGTACTGCAGTGATTCTACAACTATACTACTATGCTCTATGGTTATGTGTGAAATGGGAGTGTCTCTTCTCCCGTAAGAAACAATCCCAGACACGTGTTTTCAGCTCTTACAGTGAGTTCTACATAGGTTTCTGCGTTTATTGCTTCCTTTATATTTTCTGTCTGTTTTATTTTGATCTTCAGTCGCCTCCTCAGTAAAAAACAGAACCAGGCCGCTCGCAAAATCCTGAGGTTCCTGCTCCGCTGCCGTCACAGGTAAATACATACACTATCATCAGATTATAGCAGATTCTCTCTATCCCTGTGTGTCAGATTCCCTCCCACCTCCTAAAGATGCATGATGTTGACCTGAGAAAAAAAAGCTCTGCTTCTGGGATGTAGTGGGACAAAATATAGCAAGATAAAGGACGTTTGTCAATAAAAATACAAATGAAACGTACTCAAGAGCCTAGATTACACTGTTCTCTCATCTGTGTTCTAATGGTGTTTCCTCATCACACACACACCTGGAGTTGTGTTTTGTTTTATTCTCATGTTTAAAACACAAACCCTGCAGATTTCTTTTTTCAAACAGAACACTCTGTTCCACCTTATGATGTCATGTGGTGATACAGGAAGTGCTCCACAGTGTTTTTAAACTCCACACACCCTCACTAGAATCATTTGAATGATTTCAGCCCTGGAATTGCCGATATCTTTGAACTAAAGGTAAAAGGAACTGCTCACATGAAGTCTATCAATTCGTGACATTACAAGTTTTAACAGAGCATTTTGAGCTTTAGAGATGTAGACAGACTAGGGTGACCATATTTCCGGACACCTTACCGGGGGTGGGGCCTCGACCTTGAGCTACACTCACCTCGCAACCTGTGCACATGACCTTCCACTTGTCTCGACCGGGATGGAAAACGGAGAATTTCTTGTCTAAATCACCGTTAAATACACATTTGTGCTTCGGCGTGTTGCAGACTGACCAACTGTTTGTGTCTGCTCGCTCCTTCTGAGTGCAGAGAACTACGAGAGACGCTCAATTTAATGTTCCAATGAAAGATCATGAAAACCTGGATATTTGCATCACTTTATGAAAAAAAAAAACGGAAGTCCAGGACAGGACGCAAAAAACGGACATGTCCTGGGAATAATGGACGTTTGGTCACTCTAAGACAGACTAATACTGTATTTTCCGGACTATAGGGTGTGCTCTTAAGCCTCTAACTCTATCAAAAAACGACTGCGCCCCACAATCCAGAGCGCATTATACACAAATCCACTCGGGCGCCCCAGCACGACTTCACTAAACTACAAAGCTGCACCACCCACAGAACACACAAACACACATGGAGCAGACAGCGACCACACAGCGAAACACACCCACAGACACACTCATCACTCCACGCAGACGAGGAACGGAACAGAGGAACGAACCGAAAAAGTGAGTGCAGTGTGCCACTTCTAGACACAACTGAACAACTGAGTCACTGCGAACACGCCGACAATCCAGCGGTCCCAGACAGCACCCTCCCTACACGCCACAACTGAACAAAGCCCAGAGTCACTGTGAATGCGACAAACAAACAAAACCACTGACCCATCACACTGTTGTGTTTCCTTTAAAGTCCAGTGTGGTTTATTTGTGAAAAAAGTTTGAAAATAGACCATTTAATGACAGTGCGTCTTATAATCCAGAGCACCTAATAGTGCGGAAAATACCGTAATAAAGTGTTATTCAAACATGTGTGAATGAAACAAAACCAACTCCAAGGGTGTTTTGGAGGAGGGAACATTCTTTAGTGTAATACTGGACCTTTAAATAAAATTAGAAACACTGTCATATGAAATCAAGGCATTAGCTTAGTGTTAGCTTAGCCTGTAGCATTAGCAGAACGGTTTGATGCTAACAGTTTGTTTTGTCCCATGAAGCCCGATGCTGGAGCACAGGCCTCTGAAGCAGGTGAGTGGCCCCTGGAGCTGCCTGCTGCATGTGAGCAGAGGGAGGGCAAAATCAGGTTTACAACATTAGCCTCTTTCACTCAGACTTTGGCGAAAAATCCGTAAAACGCCCCCTCCTCTGCTCCTGCCTGCTGCATGCTCACACTCAGGACTTTATCCTGACCCTGGTGCACAGAGACCTGCTGCCGTGTGCTGCCTGGGGGACAATTACATGGATGTTTCAATAGAATGGCATGTGTATTTTCAAAACAGGGTAAATGAACTGATGTAAGGAGCAATTAGTACAGCCAGCTTAGAATGTATTTATTTCATTTGAAAATAAAAATGAAAAATATGAACTACATTTTGAGCAGATGTGTTTTCAGTCACAAGCTTGTCTGTCTACATTGTTTTACTACAGCGAGGCCAAGTTTTAGTGCATCCAAAGATTACTGTTAAAAAAACAATTTTCAAATTGCACTATGTGACTTTTAGGGTGAAGGGTGTGCTTGTCTCCATGGGAATGTGATTACTTTGCCTGGAATGTTCCACCATATGACATTTAGCTTGTCTATTTTGCATTTATTCAGTTACAAGTGTTATTATTGTTCACAAATTCCTGAAAAAGTGGGCTTGCCTCTTCACAGATCAGATCGGTGATTTGACCTCATTGTGTCTATGGAGATATCAAGTGTTAGGAACAGTTTGCCTGTAATATACCTCACTATGGCATTAAACTTATCTATCTCTGTGGAGACAGGTAACAGGCCACATCTGTGGAGAGGCAACCCCGCTCACTAATGTTTTTCAAAGTATTTTTTGATGCATAAAACATCCATAGTTACATAAAGGTAAATATAGATGTGTTTAATGCCATATTAATTCCTTGGAGACAAGCAAATAATGCACCTTTCCCAAGCCTGTTTGTGTCATTTCCTCTTATGAAAGTGAAGAGGGAAAAGTTGCTCCTTTTGCACGCACAGCTTTATCACACACACACACAAGCTCGTGCTGAATGTGATTGTTGTTGTATATTTCTCCCCAGGGCCAGAGAGCAGAGAAAGGCCAAGGTTCCTGAGAGCTCCCCCGCTGCACACCGCCCTCTCGACCCCTTCAGCCTGTGACCCCGCTCCTTACCCCCGCCCCCTCCATAGACCTCCAGAGCTCCAGAACGACACCAGGGTCCTGCCCAAAACACAGCCCCGAGAAGCCTCCTCTCTCCCCCTCTACCTCTCACTCGTCTGCCCCTCCCTCTGGAGCTCCACAGCACCTCCTCCTCCACCACCTCTGGATCTGCAACCAAATCATGGCTTCATTTTACCCATAGACTTTTCCAAAATTCACTTATTAGAAGATTTACTCAGGCTAATTAGCTGTGAGGTCACTACTAATGACCATAAACCCCATGATAGTAAACTCAAGAATTCTGAAACTTGAAACTGACAAAATGTAATACTTTGTTATGTATCAATCAAACTGTAGAAATATAGACATTTAAATGAGATGTTTTTTTGTCATGGCAACTGTGGTGCAAACTCACTGATCGCTGGTCCGATTCTCAAACGGGGACATGTTGTGTCCCTGAGCAAGACACTTTGCACTCGCAGTAATTGATAAGTCATATATTATTAAACCCTTTATGCCTAGAGTCAATCAGAGAAAAATACAACGTATTTATTAATAATGGTCAAATTTTTTATTTTGAGTTCATTTTGATGCTTAGTAGGGGAACAGTGGTGCAGTGATTTAATCTAGAAACTGGAGGGTCACTTGGTTTGATTGAGGCTCTACCACCTACTGTTGTTGTGTCTCCGTGCAAAACAGTTGAGCACTTTGTCCTCTCATTTACAGTGATACTGAGAGGGAGGGCATCTGACTTAAAACCTGTGAAAGCACCCATGCAACCTGTGACCATCATAAAAGTTAGTTGCCAGGTTAGGCTATAACTAATTAACCTCTCTGAAAATGAAGATACAATTTTAGTTCAAAGTCTATGGGAAAAATGAAGGTGAGTTTGACTCGTGCATTGAACCAGACGCCCTGCCCCCTTTTCTCTCCACTTCCCCAAAAACAGTTGTATATCTGACTGAGGATTTGACGATGTGTCCACCATGGCAGCTCAGATTGACAGACAGAAAGGGGGCGTGGCTAAATGAACGTAGCCCTGCCCTCTGCACTGCTCCTCCTCGTTTTTAAAGCGCGAGGAGAACATCACATTAACCTCATAGCATTTTTGCACTCTTTTACTTTTTGCAAGAAATGAGTCGGCGCGGTTTTGGATTTGGGAGAAACTAGAACGTGAATGTGGATTTTTGTCGCTGCATTGAAGATGGATTCTCCGAGTTATGAACGGCCGATGGGATAAAATATATTTGGAGATGAATAAGCTTTGTTTTTAATCATGCCCATTCTAAAAAACAGGTCGGGACAATGTAGAAAATGTGGATCAAAATAAAATGCAGTGGTTAGGGTTAGACTTGATCAATAGATGCACATTTATTGGGTTTATTATTTTTTATGCCTCATTTCAATGTATCTAAAAAAGAAACAAAAAAAGAAGATACATATTTCTGTAATTTGGCAACATTTTATCTGCAAAACTTTTTAAATTTTTTATATTTATCTTTTTTGTGACTTGGCAAATGGACATTATTACATGTATTTATTTTATTTATTTTATGTGTGAATTTTAAAATTTTATGTATTTTGTATATTATTTATGTTGCAGACAACATGAATTCACAACAGGACTTTATTATTTAAAGCTGAATCACTTGGCTTCACTTTCCCCTAATCACTGCACCTGCTTTAATTCACATTTTTGAATTCTCCTAACTTATTTCTTTCCAGAATCGGCATTTTCCAAACATGACAAATAAGAAAACAAAACCAAAAAAGTCATCATGAATTGCATGCAGCTCCTCTCTGCTCTCTCCTCCTCTCGCCCATCATTGGTTCAGTCCATTTTGTACAGGTCCCGCCTCCTGCAGTGGTCCAGGCGTCTCGTGTCTCATCACAGACTCTAAAGAGGAGGAATCGCACTGAATGTAAGCAGGGCATTGTTTTGATGTTATATGGGAGATTTCTTGGGTCTTCTTGGCAAAACTTTGTCTTAAAAAAGCTCATTTGTTCCTGGACTTTTAGCTGTGCGTCGCGTATTCGTCCGATTCTGAAATGCATGTGGAGCCCTGCATGCTTTGGTCAATCGCTTCAGTGCAGTTTTGAGTTTTCTCTGTGATTTCTGTGTGGTAATTTGTGTCCCCCATCGCCTCCATCTGGTCGCCCTGCGTAATGTGAAATGTGGAAATTATGATCCAACTTTGGGTGCTGTTTTTTGTTTTAATGTTTTATTTATTTATTGGTTAAAAAAAATAATTTCATTGGCGAAAAATGTGTTTTTTTTGTTTGTTTGTTTTTTTTCAGGAAAGTTCTTGTTATGTATGGTTTACAATGGTGCCTGTACTAGGTGGACACTTTATTAGGTACACGGGTTCTGATGCATCTAAATGCAGATGTGGTTTAATCCTGGTTTAGTCTTTATTTTCAAGCAGTGGAGTGGAAAGTCCTGGTTTAGTACCGGGTTAGACCTGTTTTAAAAACTAAAACTATAAAAAGTTAGTGCTCCTTAAAAGTCCCTTATTTCTCTGTTGTGATGCTTAACTAGCTCTAAACCAGTACTAAACCACAACTAAAACAACACTAAACAGGACTAAACCAGAATTAAACCGGGGCTAAACCAGATCTTAACCCGGACTAACCTAACACTAACCATGTCCAAATCAGGTTTAAACCAGGAATAAAATGGGACTAAACCAGGTCTAAACCAAAACTTAACCTGAACTAAACCAAGATAAAACTAGGACAAAGACAAAATCAGGACTAGACCAGGTCTAAACCAGGACTAAACCAGGTCTTAACTTTTTAAACCAAGTCTAAACTAGGTCTAAACCTGGTATTTCTCCACTGCACTAACTGCATGTGTACAGCGCCCTCTGTGGTCAGTTGGATGAACATATATCTGACCTTAAATCGGGTGTACCTAATAAACTGTCCCTGTAACCTGTATGTGCTCCTGAGGCTCTGATTGGCTGACCGCTGTCCTCTGTGTCAAGACTGATTCGTCCAGTTTAAATGTTGTTTGTTGAATACCTCTGAAATGAGGCTGGCCATTGCCTTGACTGGTCCCTATGCTGGCGCCCCCTTCTGGTCAAACCCAACCTATTTTGGACTATTGTAAATAAAACGACGAGGTATTGGGGGCTACCCTGACACTTTTTCATAAGCAGACTGTATTTAAGATGAATAGAAATTATTTTACGCCCATTATTAATATTAAGAAGAGATCTGCATTACTAAAGGATGGCTGTATTGTAAATATTGTAGATAGAAAAATCCTAAAATGGAATTACGTGCATGAAGCAAAAATAATAGAGGCTACTGACGGAGAGGATTTGAAAAAGCTTCACATTATAAAGATATAGATTTTCTTTCAAAAGCATGCGGATAAAAATTTAGACTTCAAAAACGATGTGCTTTTGTTTGTTGGCTAGCAAAAATGAACCCTTTTTCTGCCAGTTGTGCCAATAAATATGAATGCTACTTTTGCCTAGTAAAAAGAACACGTGGGGGACACTTTTTAAGGTGAATCCACAAATCACATGTACTACAGTAATAGAAGAGATTCTGCTCAACATACAGCCCTCCTTAAACTTTTGAAAGCCCAAATATTATTATGAAGATGGTATTTTTGTGATGGTAAAAGCAGACAAAGTGAGGACATTTTGACCTGTCCAAGATGGCGGCTTCTCTGACAATGATTTTGATACGAGTGAATGCAGGACTGTTAAAGGTGCTGAGTGTTAGTCTGGTGGCGCTGGGGTGGTACGGTACAGCCAAAGCTTTCACAAACATCTGCAGAGATCATTTGTCTCTGTTATATACTGTTATATATATTCTTATTTGTGCTAAAGGTGCACTGTGTAACTTTTCTGTTTCCATGGAGTTATCGCTGTAATGCCATTTGACAGAAGAGTGGACCAGGTTTTCAAAATCAGAAACTGAGACATCCCTGGTTTGTGGTGGTTGGCAATAAAAATACAAATAAATGGAACAAGTGCGTAATTACAAGGTCCCCACTCTTTTTCACTGACAAAATTTTAAAACTTTTTCATGACTTTTCCACTTCTAGGTCTAAATCTGAAATGTTAACTCTTTCCACTGACATTATGGTCTGGGATTATAGTTTTTGAACATTCATAATCCTGTCAGTGCATTTATTGTCGTCTCTTTTAAACAAAAGGTGCAGATGTTCAGAAATAATCAGAAGAGCCCCATGAGAACTTAATAGAATGCTGTAGTTGTGTGAAAGAGATACTAAAATTCCATGACACATGAATTTACAAAATTCAATGTCATTTTCAATTTTCATGACTTTTCCAGGATTTCCAATGTTTTGCACTTGGCTCTAACATGAATCAGTATAGTTAGATTTTCTTTGTATTTTAGTCATTTTTAAGCAGCTTTTCTCTATTTTACCTGAACAAATGAAAGTTTATGTTTCTCTTTACTGTTGGCAAGATCAGATAAAACTGGGATAAATCAGTGGTTTTGTATAAATCTGCTGGGACAGGAGACACAGGCTTAAACCTGGGACTGTCCCGCCTGGTACTGGCAGCACACATCAGCTCACCTGCTGTATTTCCAGATAAGTCAGCTCTTTCTGGTCAGATTGTGATAAAACAAAGATCAGATTAAAGTCTAACAGAGCTTCAGACAAAGCAGTGCCCACCCAAGCCCAGCCAGACACAGGGAGAACATGCAAACTCCACCCAGAAAAGCCAACACTATGAAAGCAGAGAGCCTGTAGCTGTGAGGTGATAAAGCCATACCATACCACTCCAATGTTAAACCATGACTGTTCTTTATAATGTGGTTTGTGCTTCAGCAGTTTAATATTATCTTACACCAAACCCACTGCAAGTCTCCTTCCTGTAAAGGCCCATGTTCCACTGATCCACGTCAGGATGTGTAGCCTCGTCACACACACAGCTGGAGTTGTGATTTGTATCATTCACACAAACCCTGAGCTCTTCTCTCAAACAGGAAACAATCTCTACACAATTAA